ATTAGAAACGAACAAAGCTTACTAAAGAGTGGAGATGCGTCGCCAGTCAGATTATCCCTTTTAAACGGTTCGTAAAAAGATGGCGCCCAACGTGGGGCACGAGCCCAGAACTTTTAGATTAATAGTTTAATATTCTAACGACTGAGCTAGCCGGGCCCAAAGCTAGTAAACGTACTGCTTTATGACTTTCACAAGATTCGAGGTCAAGTAGCTCGACCATTTTCTTTTCACTACATGTAAGTTAAACAAGCTATTACGGTTTTTTTTTCATTGGGTATGTGTCCATTTCACCCGGTAATCAAAGGCAGTCATAATTTTAAATTAAATAGAGTCAAGATCTAAATAGTTGCTTCGCTTGGCCGAAAGTGGCGAACTTCCGAATTTGGTTTTCTTCGATGAGAAGTTTGCAGTTTGCCGCAGTTTGTAAGCAAACAAAATGATCCTGTTTACTTGCCGAAGAGGTCAGCTGGAAATGTGCACCTTCAGTTGGCCACCAGAACTCAAGCGGCGACGATGGTGATGGTGTGGGCGGCCATAACAACCGATGACTCTCTCCTCTCGTATTAATCGACCATGGCATCAAAATAAATGCCGAATATTATAGCGAAAATATTCTGGAGGGTGTATTAAAGCCTTGGCCACGCAAATATTTTGGTCGCAGACCTTGGACATTCCAACAGGTCTTAGCACCATCGCACTCAGCACGCGCCACCCAAGAATGGCTACAAAATGAGGTACCTCGCTTCATTTAGCGCACAATGGCCACCAAATCTCCGGATACCAATCCGTTGGACTATTGTGTCTGGAGTAATTTGGAAAGCAAAGTTGACACTAAAAAATACGAAATTGTCGATCACCTCAAGAAACGCTTCAACGGAAATGAACCAAAATATCGCAACATTCGGGCAGCGTGTGACGGTTTCATTGGCCTTTGAAGGCCATAATTCATGCCAAAGGTGACCAATTCGAACAAATCTAAACTTATTCTAAAATATGATGCTATTTCCGGCATTGTTTGCTTTCATTGAATAAAATTAAAAAAAAGTACAAATTATGGGGTTTGACTTTGCTGTAGTATTTTTATCTCACCCTGTATTATTTTACAAAAAATCTCATTAGATCTCTTTGAGGAAGTGCTTCAAGAATAATCTACAAAGCTGCAAGTAAATATATTAGGTTTTTTTCAAAATACTTACCAATACTTTCATCCTCACCATTCACCCAAAACCAATTTCTATCGTATCCCTGAAAAATTCGATTCAGAGCATAATAATCAAATATTCATAATTGTATATACTGCAAAAAATCTTGTAAGTACATCTGCATCCGGGAATTCATTCATAAAATGCACATACATATTTCATCCAACATTACGCTCGCATCACTTCCCTACATTGCATATTTGTGTGCATTCTGCAGCTACACATTGAAAACTGTTACAGGCTAACATTAACAGGACATTTAAATAGCTCCAAAGTTAACATGAACACCACTTTATTCTGTTACCAATGCTGTTATTAACTCACCACACTTTTCGGAGTTATGTTAACAACATACGGCACATGCCTCTCTTTTACTCTCTCTCTCTCTAGCCAGCGTAACAGTAACGGTAACAGAAATATTAATGAATTCTAATTTCGTTCCGTTTCCGCTGAGAGCTGGCAGGAATTTGTCGTGGAAGCGGAAACGGAATGTGGCATGTTGTTGGCGATGTTCTCAACCATCTCGATGTTCGACGAAAGCAGCCAACTGAACAATGTTTCATTTTATTGCCAGGGAGCGAAGAGAGAACACACAACACATAAATATTACCGCTATTTTTGCATTATTTAATGGCAAATTTTGCACTTGTTTTGTCAATGTTGTTTTGTTTCTGTGTTTCCGTGTGTCTCACACACCGATTGTCCGTGTAAGGATTCGGTCGTGTGCGGAGGTGTGTGTGAGTGCGGAATTGTGTGAGTCAATGTTTTGGATAAAAACGAAAGCGAACAACACCACTTGTTTCTCGTTTTTCATTGTTCTTTTTGTTGCTGTTGCTGCCGTCGTCGTCGTCGTCATCCTCGTCGCCACCGACGTTGCCATCCATCGTCGTTGTCTAGGTCAGTAGTAGAAATCTGTAGCACTTCACATTGCATCTGTTCTCTTTTACATGGAAGTGTAAATGTATGTAGACGAGTGTGTTCATTCGGGTATTGGGTGTGTGTACGGTTGTGTGTGAGTGTTTCGAAAGTGTGAGGTTGGTGTTCGATGCTTCGGTTAGGTAAGGCTTGCAAGTGTAAATGTTTGCATTGAAAATGCAAAAATGTGTGGGTTTTATACGCATCGAAAGCGTCACACGCACCGACTAACTCACGCAGCCACATGCCCGGATGTGTGAACCATCAACAGTGTAGGACATTAAATGTTGCTGCCACTGTTGCTGTTGTTTTTGTTGTTGGTAGTAACTTCCTGTTGTTGTGTTTTGTCATAAATTGTACACGATGGTCGTCACAGCGAACATCATAGAAAAAAAAACTCAAACGAAATGAGAAATTAAAACGACGACTATAACAGCGACAAGAAAAAAAAACATGTGTGAGGATGTACCTTTTATTCACTTGCTGGGATCATAAGCGTGTGTATATTAAAGATACATGTCTATGTTTTCTAATCCTTGAAAGTAAGACATCCTTAAGACAAATGGAAAAATGCAGTACTTTGAAAAGGATACATTGATTTAAGATATATTTAAATCTATTATCAATTCTAAAATAAAATAGACAAAAAAACTGCAAGGAATTGCCGGAAATGCCGAAGAGCATTTCATTTCAAAATTGGACATTCCACACTTTGGACAAAGGTGGAGCAAAATCGGATTATCGTTTCTCTTTCTGTGCAAAAATTATTTTTTTGAAAATTTCGACCTTTTGTGGGGGAGGTACCGATATTTTCCATATCAACACCAGACTTTGGGTTGATAAAAATTTTGGGATGTGAAATTTGAAGACAATCGGACTCTTACGTCACATTTTATAAGAGTTGTAGCTATTCAAATTTTTGACCCTTTGTTGGGGAGGTACTCGATGGACCGACAATGACCATTTTCGCACCTGACATAGCACTGACGCAAATATAAGGATTTGCAAAGTTGGAGCCAAATCGGATTTTTTCTCTTTCTGTGCCGAAAATATATTTTTTTGAAACTTTCGACTTTCTTGGGTTAATAATATTATTGCGATGTGTGAAATTTGAAGACAATCGGACTATTACATCACATTTTATAAGAGTTGTAATTATTCAAAATTTTGAGCCTTTGTGGGGATGGTACCTGATGGAGTGAACCGATATCGTCCATTTTCGCACCTGACCTAGCACTGATAAAAATATTAGGATTCGCAAAGTTGGAGAAAAATCGGATTATCTTTCTCTTTCTGTGCAATTAATTATTTTCTTTGAAAATTTCGACATATTGTGTGAGAGGTACCAGAAGGAGTGGACCGATAGTGCCCATCTCCAAACTCGATCTAAGTTTGACAATAATATTACCATGTCCCAACTTTGGATCAAATCGGATCTCCCCTCGAGAGTTACCAGCCAGCAAGACAGACAGACGGACGGACATCGCTAGATCGATTCTAAATGTCCTGAAACTGATTTGGTCCAAAGAGACCTTGGGTCTAAAACCGTTATTTCGACTAGGTACGTTTTGGCCGTATCAAATGATATATACCCTCTGTAGCCATATGGCTGAGGGTATAAAAGCCCTGACCAAGTATTAAAAGTAAAATAATTACGTAAGGCGCAGGAGGGGGAGAAATGACAAATTCTGTTATTAAATAATGTTTTAGATTACATATATTGAAATAAGGAAGAAGGAAGCAATTTATGGAGGACATACAGGTTGCCCATATTCCACGGACCTTTGGGCCCTTTGGGCCCATTCCAATCGACGAGGCTTGTCCGCAGGCAACATTCTTTGCGTCAATTGAATTTTGTACGGGAACAAATGCAAATCAATGCGAATAATCCGTTGTAAAGTGGACCGAGAGCCAAGCCCAACTGCTGAGAACGGAGTTTTTGGGATGTTCTTGGGGACCTCTTAACACTGGCTCGTACGGCAGCGATATTCTCGGCCGATCGCCTTGGTGGACTTTTATATGGCCTCTTCGGATTAGAAAGAGCCTTACCAGTCGAAAATTTTTCGTATAAACGCTTAATGGCGTTCTTAGAAGGCGCACTTGTCACATTTTTTAATGTTTTAAAAGCACGTTGAGTTTTCACAATTGACTTCTTCTGTTGAATGTAAATTTCAACTATTTCAGAGCGCTCGCGTTGCGTGTATTGGTTCATGGCAAAAATCTGCTTGGACTGACGCTTCAAACGAGGTATGTCATTAAGCGATGTGACATTTTGATGATTTTAGCGACATTATTCACCGGAATTGTGTCAAATTTTGTTATTTGAAGTTCGCAATGAATACTAAATCCTAAGACAGAAAATTGTTTGTGCAGATCCACCCCTTCGTATAGCCCCCATATAACGGTACCTCCCGATAATCGGTATTTTGATGACTGTACCTACATTTTTCACCGATTTTTTTTTTTCTAATTTTCGCATTTGAATATTGTAATGGCTTATGAAAAAAATTACCTATGCAGTGTCCATGTCGTCGTATTGACCCTAATATAACGGTTACATTCGGTATTTCTATGATTTTTACGGATTTTATTGTTTTTGAGAATTGCCAAATTCTTTCAAATGATGGAGGGTATTCAAAGTTCGGCTCGGACGAACATACAGCTTTTTTACTTGTTTTATTTAGTTTTACTTGAATAAAAAATTGCAATAAACATAAAAAAAATTAAGTTTAATTGTAATTTCATCTTATCTTTTCTTGTTTTTACTGCAAGTGACCGCAGAGCGACGTAGCAATAGTTATTACCTTTTTTGTTTACTTTTCGTATTCTTAGGTATAAAATAAAACCATACTTTTTTATTGTTCGAAAATTGTGTATTCGAATATTTATATTTATTGAAATATATTTTTAAATTTATTCTTATACTCCACAAATTTCCTTATATCTCTCACTAAATACATAATCTTAAATATAAACAATTAACTTTTAGTTATTTTTTTCCTGGTGATTTAAGTAAGCTTATGCAACAAACTATTTCTTATAAGATTCTTATAATCTAAAAAAGAAAAAGAAAAACGTTCAAAAAAGATAATAACAAATGCTTGGCATCTTGAAACAATAAAGACAATTTAACAATTTTTTTTGGTTTGGATTTTACGACTACAATACTTCAATACATTCACACATAAACACACACATATTCTCTTAAAGATGTAAGCACTCCAACACACAACTATACATATGTATTTATGATGTCACAAGCCGCATTTAGAAAAGTGACCATCTAAGTAATTACACTCCTTCTTTAGACGCCTGTCGTCGATGTACGCGCATATGACGTTTTCCTGGCGGGTGGCAAATCTGATGTGTAGTCCTGGAAACGTTTTGTACAATTGATGGCCTAGAAAGATAAAAACGGCAGAGAGAGGGAGAGAGAGAGAGAAAAAAAATCATAAGACACAAATGAACAATCGTTTCATGATAACAATGCAAAATGTAGTCATTATATTGTGATAATGTACAGAGGAATCGGAGAAAAGTAGCAACAACAACAATAATAAGAACAATACATTTAACCAGTTATTACGGCTTTTAATGGCCTTATGGTCAAATAAGATGAGCTTTAATTTGCTATAATATTAAGATGACTTTTATTTTGCGGTTTATATGCGGGAGGATTTCCAATCTCTTTTGTTCTATAAGACTTCGAAATGTTTGACCCAGTCGGTATTTATACCCTACAGCTCACTGTTGTCAGGGTAATATGTCTTTGTGCATTTGCTTATAACATAGGGAAGCAAGCGAGATAGTCCCATAGTTCCTTTTGATGATTTGAATAGAATCACATTCTGTATCGATTTATGAATGTCCGTCCGCCTGTCCGTCGGTCCATGTATTTTTATAAACAAAGGATGAACCCTATTGGTAATCGGTCAAAATTTAGATATAGCTCCCATATATATCTTCATCCGATTTGCGTTTTATTGTGCACTAAATGTGTAATAACACTAACCAAATGTGTTATTTGTAACTCTAGCTGTCTTCGTGTGATCAATACTTTGGAATCAATTTTCAAAAACCCACCCTTTTTGCACGACCTCATACCCACATTGATTATCATGCACCATTTTAAAATTCTAGTTCGAACCGATTCGCCGAGTCGTTGGTGAATCAGTCACTATTCACCCTACTTTTTTTATATAAAACAAGTCAAAACACAGTTAAGATCGTCGGGGTCGAACTTTTTGTTATATTTTCCACATATTTTTCTTAAGATATCCATTTAAAATGACAAATTTGAAAAATATAATCCAAATATATCCATTATTGCAAGGTTAAGAAACCCATCAAAATACCAATATGCTGACCATTATAAGGGACAAATCCATTGAAATATCTGACTAAATTTATCATATTGAGATGAGAGAGAACATTTGCATAAAACATTTGACAAAAATTATGAAAATATGGAATATCTGGGGGTAATTTTATGAGGGGACTATAGAAAATAGTAGACCTTTTTAACGAATTGTTCCACAAAAAAAGTTATTTGTGATGGAATTCAAGCGTGATAGTGTGATTTCTTTATATTTGGCTGGAAAACCATAATTGGCTATCGTTAGAGCACTCCAGCATTTAAATGTCAATAAATCTTTTATGTATCGTACCATCGCTCGTTACCGTGATACAGGTTGCGTAGCCCGCCGCCAAGGAAGTGGACAAAAGAAAACAGCAACATCAGCAGAAATGGTTCGAAAAGTAACAAGTTAAAAAGCAGTAAGTTCAGCCGGGCCGAACTTTGAATACCATCCACCATTTGGAACGAATTTGGAAATTTTCAAACAATGAAATCCTTAAAACATTCTGTTAAAATTTTAAAAATACCAAATATAGCCGTTTTTTGGGGTCTATACGACATGGGCCTACATAGGCATTGTTTGTCATAAGCCACTACCATATTCAAATTCGAAATAAAAGGTGAATAATGTAGCTAAAATCATCAAAATATCGTATATAGGGAGGTACAGTTATATTGGAGCTGTGAGAAGACCTGAACCTGCATAGACAATTTTCTGTCACAGGCTGTAGCATCCATTACGAACTTCAAATACCACATCTCAAACAATTTCGGTGGGTATTGTACCTATAATTGTCAAAATACCGAATATAGGGAGGTACTGATATATGGGGCTATACGAAGACCTGGACCTGCATAGACAATTTCCTGTCACAGACTGAAGTTCCCATAACGAACTCTAAATACGTAACTTGAAACAATTCTGGTGAACAATGACGCTAAAATCATGAAAATACCGAATATTGGGAGGTACCGTTATATGGGGGCTATATCAAGACGTGGATCTGCACAAAAAATTTTCTGTCTTAGGGTGTAGTATATATTTCGAACTTCAAATACCAAATTTGAAACAATTCCGGTGAATAATGTCGGTAAAATCATCAAAATACCGAACATCGGGAGGTACCGTTATATGGGGGCTATACGAAGACGTGGACCTACATGGCCTATTCACGAACTTAAACACGTGTGCAAAATTTTAGCCATCTATCTCAATTCATTCGAAAGATAGCGTGATTACAACAGACAGACGGACATCGCTAAATCGACTTAGAATTTTACGCTGATCAAGAATATATATACTTTGCTGGGTCTGACATGAGTATTTCGAGGAGTTACAAACGGAATGACAAAGTTAATATTCCCCTTCATAGTTGTATAAAAGTGACTATAAAAGTGGAGGGTATAAAAAGTGACTTGATCGAAACCCGCGTCGCAGTATCCGAAAAATGGTTCGTGAGCTGAACACATCGCAATATTCCATTCACCAAATATTGAAAAATGAGCTCGGGGTAAAGCCATTGAAATTCCAAAAAGTGCAAGAATTTACACCGCAACAAAAAGAAAATAGACTCAAAAGAGCTAAAGAGTTGCTTCGCTTGGCCGAAAGTGGTGAACTGCGGAATTTGGTTTTCTCCGATGAGAAAACATTCGTTGTTCAGCAGTTTGTTAACAAACAAAATGATCGTGTTTACTTGCCAAAGAGGTCAGCTGAAAATGTGCACATTCTGTTGGTCACTAGAACTCAAGCGCCGCCATAACAGCCGATGGTCGCTCTCCACTCGTATTAATCGACCGCGGCATCAGAATAAATGCCGAATATTATCACGAAAATATTCTGGAGGGTGTATTAAAACCTTGGGTTCGCAAACATTTTGGCCGCAGACCTTGGACATTCCAACAGAACGCAGCACCATCGCCCTCAGCATGCGCCACCCAAGAATGGTTACAAAATGAGTTTCCTCGCTTCATTTCCAGTGCACAATGGGCACCAAAATGTCCGGATTCCAATCCGTTGGACTATTGTGTCAAGAGTATTTTGGAAAGCAAGATCGGCACTAAAAAATACCAAAGTGCCGATCACCTCAAGCAAGCGTTTCGCCGGAAATGGGCCAAAATACCGCAGAGCAACATTCGGGCAGCGTGTGACGGTTTCATTGTGCGTTTGAAGGCCATAATTCGTGCCAAAGGTAACCGATTCGAACAAATCTAAACTTATTCCAAAATTTGATGCTATTTCCGACATTTTTTGCTTTCATTCAAAATTGGAAATAAAAAATGTAAAACTTATGGCGTTTGAATTTGTTGCAGTTTTTTTATCTTAAGCTCAAAGTTACGCTATGACTCGCCGCTTCTTTGAATAAGTACGGTCCGATGATGCCACCAGCCAATAAAAAGACCCAACCTGCGACGTTTGCAATGCTTCTGGCTGATCTTCACTCTAAAATTTGCAATTCTACGTATTATACCTTCAGCCATATTGCAAGAGAGGGTATATATCATTTGTTACGGCCAAAACGTGCTTCATCGAAATATCGATTTTAGACTTTGGTCTCGTTGGACCAAAACCGTTTCAGGATATTTGGAATCGATCTATCGATGTCCCTCCGTCCGTCTTTCTGTTGGTCTCTCTGCTAGCTGATTCGCCCGGTAACTTTCGAAGGGAGTATCCAATTTGGTCCAAACTTGGCGCATAATGTTTTTGTCAAATTCAAATCGAGTTCGGAGATGGGCAATATCGGTTCACTCCTTCTTGTACCTCCCCCACAAAAGTTCAATATTTTTACAGATAATTATTTACCTCACAGAATAAGAAAGCTTCGTCGCTGAACACAATTTTTCAATTTCGAATTTCCTTTCAAATTTCAGTGATTTTATGAAGATGTTTATTTCTCTTTCGAGAAGAGCTATATAATCTGAAATTTACATTGAAAGGAAAGCCAGATAGACAATATCACACACCCACCACCATGTTTCGCCGTTGGTTAAGCGGTTCATCGGGCATATTTGGTGTGTAAAGAAAATTACCCTTTATATATAGATTATAATAATGGCCTTGTGAGGAAGGTAACACAAAAAGTGGGCCCGAACTGTCCATTTTGGATAGTATTCATTTTCGATGTCGATCTAAGTCCAGATTTACATAAGGCTATTATAATTACCGCTAGTGTAATATTGTTGGTAATGGAGATGAGATGTTATTAGAAAATTTTCAATCATTTTTTTGGAAAGAGGGGTTCAATTTGTACAAACTACCCACGAACTGAAATTCGATCATAACTAAATCGACTTTAAATGGTCTGAAATGGATTTATTAAAAAAAAAACAAGTAAAAAAACGTTAAGTTCGGCCGGGCCAAACTTTTAATACCCTCCACCTTAGGGTAAAAGAAACATTAGAAGAAATGTGGCAAAAACCATTAAAATGCCGAATATCGGGAGGTACCGTTATATGGGGGCTACACCAAAACGTGGACCTATAATTACAATGTTTCGCTACACAAACTAGGACCCATTAGGACCCACAAATACCAATTTTTAGACAAAACAGTGAAAAAATGTTGCAAAAACCATCAAAATACCGAATATCGGGATGTACCGTTATATGGGGGCTATATCAAATCATGGACCCATGCATGCAATGTTTCGCCACCGAAGCTGGAACCCATTATGACCAACTAATACCAATGTGGCAAAAAATGTGGCCAAAATCATCAAATTACCGAATATCGGGAGGTACCGTTATATGGGGGCTATACCAAAACGTGGACCTATAATTACAATGTTTCGCTACACGAACTAGGACCCATTATGACCCACAAATACCAATTTTTAGAGAAATCAGTGAAAAAATGTGGCAAAAACCATAAAAATACCGAATATCGGGAGGTACTGTTATATGGGGACTATACCAGAACGTGGACCGATATATCTCATTTTCAATACCAACCATCCTAGACACAATGCAAATAGCTCTGCTAAATTTTGGCGCTCTACGTCAAATAATGTGGGCTGTATCGTGATTTCAACAGACGGACAGACAGA